GATTCGCTTGAAACTCGTTACTCGGGGGTTATCGGGGTCGCTGGTTACGAATCTGATGTCAGTTTTTCAAAATTCAAAATGGCGGATCTAATATGGCGGACGAAATACAAAAATTGTTCAGATTTGCTTGAATCTTGTTACTCGGGGGTTTTTGGGGTAGCTGATTACGAATTTGATATCAGATTTTCAAAATTCAAAATGGCGGATCCAATACGACAGATGACTTTTTTAAAAATTGATTGGATTCGCTTGAAATTTGTTACTCTGCGGTTTTTCGCGTCACTTATGACGAATCTGACGTTAGATTCAACAAATTCAAAGTGGCCAAAGTATAATGAAAGACTAATTTTTTTAATTTACTCAGGTTTGCTTGAAATTTGTTAGTGTGGTATTTTTAGGGTGGCTGATTACGAATATGAAGTCACATTCCAAAAATTCAAAATGGCGGAATTATTATACTCTTTTTGCTCTGACTCTACCAGTATCAACTTATCTATATTTCACAATATGTGACAGGAAAATTTAAAAGTGATCTATGGTACGAGAAAATCGATGTTAGTTTTTCAAAATTCAAAATGGCGGAACGAATATGGCAGACGAAATTAAAAAATTAGTCGGATTCACTTGAATTTTGTTACTCTAGGGTTTTCGGGTCCACTGATTGCGAATCCGATGTTCGTTTTTAAAAATTCAAAATGCTTGGTATAAAATAGCTATAAGAATTGGTAAGGATATTTTTTACACCTCGTCTGCCTTATCGATTCCACCATTTTGAATTTTGAAAAACTAACATCGGATTCGCAACCAGCAACTCCAAAAACCCACGAGTAACGTGTTTCAATCAGGTTTAAGATATTTTGAAAAATTCGTCCGCCATTCTGGATCCGGCATATTAAATTTTTTTAATCCAACGTCAGATTCGTCATTATCGAACCCAAAAACCGCAGAGTAACAAATTTGAAGCGAATCCGATTAATTCTTAAAAAAGTCATCTGTCATATTGGATCCGCCATTTTGAATTTTGAAAATCTGATATCAAATTCGTAATCAGCTACCCCAAAAACCCCCGAGTAACAAGATTCAAGCAAATCTGAACAATTTTTGTATTTCGTCCGCCATATTAGATCCGCCATTTTGAATTTTGAAAAACTGACATCAGATTCGTAACCAGCGACCCCGATAACTCCCGAGTAACGAGTTTCAAGCGAATCCGATCAATTTTTTAAAAAGTCATCCGCCATATTGGATCCGCCATTTTGAATTTTTGAAATCAGACTTCAAATTCGTAATCAGCGACTACGAAAACCCCTGAGTAACAAATTTCAATCAGATTTGAGCAATTTTGAAAAAGTTTGTCATCTTACGTAAAATAAGAAAAAATTTTTGTCCTTCAAGCGCCATTTTAAATTCAAAATCGAAAAAAATAAAATTAAAAAAAGAATATTTTTCAAGTACAACTATCGGGAACACGTTTTTGATACTTTTTGTTCTATTTGAAAAGCGTTAAGACACAGAAAAAAATTCTTTTGAAAAAAATTACATTAAAAAAACTTGACTTTTTTTAGTATTTTTGAAAAAAGAAGGGTAAAATATCATTTTTTGAAAATTTTGACCACACCATTCGAAAGAGCGACCCCAAAAATAGTAGGGTATGGACTTTTAAAAACTTTTATGGCTTTTTTCTACTAATTGTAAGAGATTGAATTTCATGTTGAAAAGTAGCACATCTCGTCGTTAAAGGGTTAAATTGTGAGTATATTTTTAATTTTTGTTTTCCTTTGTTTCTAATTTTTGTTAACCATGGCTCTTTCGTAGGTGGTTAGAAGATTTTTTGAGGGAAAAAGGGCAGCAAGCAGTGGATTTTTGTTATTCCCTATCGTTTATATTAAATTGTAAGTATATTTTTAATTTTTGTTTTCCTTTGTTTTGAATTTTTGTTAACCATGGCTCTTTTTGTAGGTGGTTAGAAGATTTTTTTGTGGAGAGAAAAAGGCGTCAAGCAGTGGATTTTTTTTTATTTCCTATCGTTTATATTAAATTGTGAGTATATTTTTAATTTTTGTTTTCCTTTGTTTTTAATTTTTGTTAACCATGGCTCTTTTTGTAGGTGGTTAGAAGATTTTTTTGAGGGAAAAAGGGCAGCAAGCAGTGGATTTTTGTTATTCCGTATTGTTTATATTAAATTATAAGTATATTTTTAATTTTTGTTTTCCTTTGTTTTGAATTTTTGTTAACCATGGCAATTTTTTTAGCTATTTGTATTTTAATTGGAGGTTCCTGCTTACAAATTTTCTATGATTTGTGGGGGTTCTTGGTTTTTAAAATTTTATCTTGGGTAAGTTTGTTAATGAATTGTTTGGTTGTATGTAGTATTTTTGTTTATGTATGTTTCATTGGTTTTTTTTTAGGTACCCTGTGCCCCCCTTTTTTGTGTTTTTTTTTTTAGTATATTTTATATAATTGCTTAAAAATATTATGTAATAGTATATTAATATTAAAAGTATTATTCAGTAAAAAAAAATAAAATTAAAAACAATATTTTAAAGTTATTTTAATTATTTAACCCCCTTTTTTAAAAAAATGTTCATGTTTGTAGATTAAAATATGTTTTTTTTTTAAATTTTTTTTTTTATTTTTATGTTGTTTTTTTGTACTTATTCATTTATATTTCTTTTTTTTTTTTAATTAGATTTTTGTCTTTGTTATTATATATATATATTTTTTATTATTTATCCCGTCCTAAACTGGTTCGCCTATTTCCTGGAAGATAATTTGAGGGGATGTTCCTGAGGAAATCGTTTTTTTTCTTTTATTTTGTTTTTTTTTAATTGGTCTTGTCTTTTTTGTTTATGGTACGTCCACGTATTTAATTTTGGGTGTTTCTGTATATTGTAATATGGAGATTGGATTTTCTCGTTTTGTTTTTTCTTTTCGTAATGTGCTGCTGGTTGTGGGTTTGTTTTCTTCTTGTCGTTCGTTTCGTTGTAGGATTTCTTGTTCGATGGTTTGTTATAAAATTGGTAGTATTTTGGTTTTTGGGTCTTTGTTGTAAAGGGCTGGACGGTATGGCGTACATTTGTTGCGTCTCTGTCTCGTTGCTTCTTATTTTTCTTCTTATGCAGCATAGAGGTTTTATATGGTTTTTTATGCATTGTTTTGTAGTCAAATAGATTATGATTATTATTATTACTGTTGACAAAGTTCCTATTATTGAATTTGTATATAGATATTGTTCCTTTTTACCAAGTGTATGTAAACTTTGAATTTCGAGACCTTTTTCTATTTCTTGTAATTTTTCGTCGGTTTCCATTTTTCTCCAAATTGGTCGTATTTCGTTTGATGTTGTCACCTCCTTTTGAGGGTTTGCTGTTTTTAGGATTAATAAAATCTCTTCTAGTTTTAATTCTATTTTAGGTGCATAAATATATTCTTGAGGGTTGTTTATTATCTGTAATGTAGGTAATTTTATTGTGTCAGTTTTTAAGGTACATTTTGGCGATAAGTTAACTATTCCTATTCCTTTTATTTGGAAAGTGTTGACTTTTGTTTTTGGACAGATTAAATATGCAGTTTCTTCTTTCGTTAGTGAATATAACCAATTTCCTGTTGTGATAAGAGGTTCCCATAGTGGTTGTTGATTCTTTGTGATCCGGCTATCACAACTTCTTAAGGTGTTATTATTAGGTTGTCTTAGCAATTCTGATTCACAACTTGGTGCTAAAATAATGTCATAAATTCCTTGTGTTGGATAACAAACGTATCTTCCTTCCACTATTTGGCAAGTCCTCAGCTGTTCTTCTTCTAAATAAAAATAATGTCTGCCCTCTATGCTAGTGGCTATGTATTTCGAGTGGGGTGTAATGTATGCTCTGTTTCCTATTGTTCCTATATTTTGTAGTACTGGTAGCTCGTGCATTTTGTAAAGTAGATATTTTTCTTTTTCTAAGAGTGGAATATCTAGTGTTATCATCAAATTTTCTCCTTTTATTTGTAATCCTATTTTTGATATTTCGGCAATTGTTGCGACATTTAGGTTGTCTATGTGCATAGGATATTCCTGGTTTTCTAAGAATTTATGAGCTTCCGTTGCTATTGTTTTTATCTGTTCGTTATTTAATAATTTTGGATGTAATTTTCCTTCTATGGCTTTAAATATGACGTTTAAGGTTTCCTCTAATCCATGTTTATAAGTTTCCATCTGCTCATTCCATTGTTTTGATGTTTTTTGTAATTGTAACATGAAATCTGTGGTAGTTAATTTTGATTCCACGGCAAATATGTCTTTTTCGAGTTTATATAATCTCTTTCTTTCTTCTTCGGAACTGTTATGTTGTCGTTGTGCTAAATCATATAAATTTTGTAAGTTTGCTCTTACTATATGAGTTTGTTCTCCTACTAAGTGTGATATTTTCTTTTGAGCCTCGTTTAATTCTGTAAAAAGTTTTTCGTATCTTTCCCCATCATCGTACGTTAGTATTCCTATTGTTGGTCCTGCGATTTTTCCTATGAACCCTATTAATGGAGTGTTTCGTTTCCTCCTTTTTTGAAATTTAAGTGTTTGTTTTGTTGATGGTTGCTGTTTCAATTCTTTTATGACATTTAATAATTGTTCTCGTAGTAACTTGGCTACTGTAATTTCTTTATTTAACATCTTATATTCTAAAAAATCTTCACAACTTAATTTCATTACATTTTGGCAAACTTTTTCTATTTTTCTATATTCTGTTTCTAAATTAGGTAAATGTGTTTTGAAAGTGTCTGTGTCTACTAGTATTACCGTCCTCCATGTTCCTGATATGCGTTGTAGGTTTGGCATAAGTTCGTAAAAGAGTCCTGTGTTCTTATTTATAGGTGTTATGTTCATAAAAGGGTTTAAGTCTTGTGTTTTTGTGAGGCCGCTTATTCCTAGTATTATAACGCATATCCCGAAATAGTTCTCCATTTTTTCTCTGTAACCAAAATTAAATTATCTGTTTAGTTTTTTTTTTTATTACTGTTGGTTAGTTTTCTATTGCTAATTTGGCTAATCTATCTGCTCCTTTATTTCCTATTATTCCAGTATGTCCTGGTTCGTATATTAGTTCTACTTCTAGGTTATTTAAACTACTTTTCATCTTTACAAAGTCCTTTTTACTAATGACTTCTCGCTTTCGGCTTGTTTTCCAGCCGTTATTTTCCCATTTAGGTAGCCACTCTTTTATCCCGTATATTACAAATTTAGAGTCGGTGTGTATCCTAATTTTCTTATAATTTAAATTTTTCAGAATTTCTATGGCCTTTATGATGGCTTCCATTTCTGCGCTATTATTAGTCTGCCTATTACATGCTTTGTCGCTGATATTTAAGGGGTGTTCTTGGTTAAACCAGATTCCTATTTCAGCTTGTGCATTAGGTTTACCATTTGCCTTACAAGCTCCATCAGTATACACATGTACATAGCCGTCTTTATCTATTCTCAATCCCTTTTTATCATTCTGTCAGGAATATGCTTTCTTGACCTGATCCTTGTGTTTTCGGAACCTCTTCTTTTCTGCGTCGCTTAGTATCAAATTGTTTTTTTCTGTGATCCCTACTACTTCATATGGTCCGTGGTAATATGGGGAGAATTTTCCAGCTCTTACTTCTTCATTAACGTCTACTAAGTCTTCTATTTTCACGTCCAAGGGTTTTGTTTTGTTGCTTAATTTTTTTCTGATCTTTTCTTTTGACTGAATTAAATTTTTGGCTACCATTCTTCTAATTTCAATTAGTCGTGTTACTAATTCTCTCAAATAGGACTCGTATGTTTCCATTATTTCTTCTGTTGGGAATATAGAGGGGGTGCGTGCGGTTTTCCCAAAAACTACTTCATGAGGGGTGAACTTGGTCGCTTCGTGGACTGAAGTGTTATAGGCAAACATAGCGTAGGGCAATAATCTGTCCCAATCGTCGAAGGCTTTGCGTTAGTG